TGTCTGTAATCTCAACATGATTATTTGGCCAGAATCAAAGTCTCTGCACGCAGTCCATTCATGAATTTGTCGGGAGAGAAGGCGGGACCGTCTCCAGTTTTGGAAAGCTCATTGGATGGTGATACTTCTCCTTTAAGCTATTGGCTCCTTGGAGTCACGGTCAAAAGTTCAGAGTGCAAAGGCCGGCGGCCATTTTGTAGATCAGATCGCTACAATGTTTATGCGTGAAAGTATGGCTCCACTCTCACCAGCAGCTGGTTTGGATATCAGTGCACCTTTTCATTGATGTATATCGACGAATGAAGGTGTTATGGAATAATATTTATGGATTAGATTGCCTGGTCATTTGCCTTTGAACTATTTCAGCTGTCAGAATGTTATGGATCTGCTGACCAGCGGGAGGCTGAGAGGTGAGTTCTTCATTTAAAGCCTTCTATTCACGCTGATCTCGCCAGACTTCCCTTTAAGCATGCACGTTACCGAAAGTGGACCGCTAACGTTAGGTGATCCGTGAGTTCGGCTTCATTCCGGTGGCTTGAATCGCCAGCGTCATAAGTTTGGACGAAGTTGTGGCTTGTGTAGTGAGCGGCAGATCAAGTAGAAGATGGAAGAGTTGATATTCCGGATTCTTGCGGGGATTCTGGCTTGATTGCTGGCGAGGCAGCTGCTGGAGTTTTGGGGAGAGCGGGGTTCTGGTTGGAGAAGTTGTTGTTGTTGTTGTTGATTGTTTGTTTGTTCTTCCATGCCAGAAGGTTGAATGATGCTGAAGCGTAGTTTAAATGCTGGAGTGTTTGTAGCGGGAAGCATTCTTCCAAAATGAAGATAGTGCAATGGGGAGAAAGTGATCCATTTATACTAAGCTAGGATCATTCTGATTGGATTATTACTGATTACGGATGAGTGGCCAGCGGTGCACAATCATATCACGTGCTCCTCTCGAAATTAGTTTATGAAACTTCACTTAAATAGAGTCGGCCGACATCTCTCATAATTCCGATGAGTAGCTCAGACTGTCGGTCAGCAAATGCAGATTTGAACAAATCCGCAGCCTTTTGTACGCAGCTCCGTTGGACCGCTGTTTGTGCAGCGTATTCACGAGAGAGAATGAGCATGCAATCGGTAAAAACCTGCTGAATCAAAACTTTTTAAAAATCTGAATTAATATTGGTTACCTTTGCACGCTGGAGAAAGGATGACACAATGGCTGACGGATTTCTCTTAGACAGGTAATGTTCTGTTTTAATACTGTTTTAGCATCACGCAAAGCTGATGTAACGTTAGATGTTGTTGTTGTTGTTACAAATGGGTTATATCTTCACAGAAGTGTTGTTCAACCACTACAATCTTCCGGTGAAAGATTGATAAGACTTTTTTCAGTTTCATAAGGGACCTTTTACAGTATATATAATGTAGATTTGAATTAGTTTAACAACAAAACACAAGTAAATAGCACTATTCCGCCTATTGTTTACCATGCAACTAATATTCACTCTGAAATAGCATGTCAGTTTGGCTTGCACGCCGCCGGATAAGCACTAGTCTTGCATAAGAGAGGGTTCTTTTGCTGTGCTCGTATTAAGGAGGTGTGGCTCTAGACGGCAGGAGAGGGGCTGTGATTCAGAGATTTATGCTAAGCTGTTAGCATTGTGGAAGATCACCTACTGCACCTTTAATACACTTGCATAGTAATCGTATCTCAATGCTTTTACTAGGGGATGTTTTTTTTTTTTTTGCACCATCTCGCCATGTTGCCCATGTTCGCCCATATTGCCCATGCCTAAATCCACCACTGGCAATGCTGAACGTTATTGTTCCAGTATAATGTTTTTTTTTTGTCTCATGTCGTCCTACAGCAACATCAATATAGTTTAGAATACTGTACAATGTTTTATAATAATTAATTACTTTAGTGTCCATTTCATTTAGCATGTTTAATATTGGGACATCCACGTTTTTTGATATACTTTAAACCAGGGTTTCTGCAGGTTTTACCAAGTTAAATTTAAGACTTTTACGACCATTATGAATGAAATTTTAGACACATAAAAGGCTAAAGGCTAAGGAATTTTTCAAATATCCCAGATTTTGTATTTGTCCTATAAAAAAGTATTTTAATACATTTAATAATACAAAACATTTATTCATTCATTTTCTTTTCAGCTTAGTACCTTTATTAATCTGAGTTCGCCACAAAGGAATGAACCGCAAACTTGTCCAGCATTTGTTTTTTACACAGCAGATGCCCTTCCAGCTGCAACCCAACTCTGGGGAACACCTATACACACACACACACACCATGGACAATTTAGCCTACCCAAATCGCCTGTGCCACATGTCTTTGGATTTGTGGGGAAAACCGGAGCACCCGTAGGAAACCCACTCAGATTCTAATTCAGATACTATCTGTGAGAACTAGAAACAACTACTAGAAACAACTTTAAACTAGGGCTGTAACGATACACGATATGAAATCAAAATCGCGACACTCAGATCTACGATCCTGTGTCGCGGTGTGATAAGGGAAAATCGCGACACACCCCGTGACTACCTTTCCAATAACGTCATGCGTGCCTGCAAAAGTTGAGCTAATTAACACTTTTTTCGTTCGACATTACGAGCACTGCTCCGTTTAAGCCCTTGCAATATTTAGCCAGGAGAGCTCGCACGGAGCTCTTAGTAAGGGACCGTCTGAATGTGTCAGGAATATCAAAAACAAAACCAACTTAACCCCGCTTGACAACCGACAACGCCAGAAACATTGCCAATGCTGTCAAAGCGCCCGGATTTTACGATGATTTGCTCACACTGTTAATGTGGCTGCGCAGAGAGGGATGGGCGTTCACCAGATGTCAGGTAACAGCGCTAACTTTTCTGTAACCGTGCTGTGCGCTTTCTGTTTGAACATTTGGGAGTGTTGACTGACAGTTGCGCAATGCGTGAGGTCAGAAAACACGACGAGGCTTTCAGTTAAGATGAACACAGTTTCTATAGTTATACTTTATTTAGAGATAAAGGTATATGGCTCTGCATATAATCACTCTATCTTGCTGGAGTTTATAGCAGTTTCGCTTTACTTCAGGACGCATTAATGCCGCTCTGAAGGTCTAATCGCTGTTTTAAGTTATCCAGAGCTGTATGAATGTACAAATCATGAGTATCACAATAGTATTAAATATTACAATTACAACAACACAGACAGCAACACTTTTGCACAATCGATACCCAGCTGATTCAGTCATTTCATAAGAGGATCGCGCCTCTTTTTTTTCCTTGTCAACATAAAGGCAGTAAGGTGCGCCTCGTTTTCGCCCCTTGTTTAACTGCAAGGCATACTTAATTTGCGGGACGATAATGTGTAACCCGTGCCTACAGACAGATTTGCCAAAGAAGCAAAATGGAAGAAGAATATTGCTGTTTGATACAGACGTGTTGATGCTGAAGCGCTTATGTTGACCTGGATCTGCGTAATAAACGCAACAAATAGGCTTTACTTTTTATTTTACAGCTTATAAGGCATTTATGCACATTAATGCAATATCATATTTAAACAACAAAACTGTTTACAAAAAGTCTACATATGCACACGTTGTTGTCTTTTCATCATGCAGCGAGCGCACTTGAACTGCGAGGGAGAGAGAGGAAACCATAGGCTATATCAGGACATATTCTTTAAAATAATTTCTATTAAAAATGTAAAAGGTTTTGTTATTATAATAATAACAGCGGAGCATTAAATAAATGCATATTTTCCGTAAAGCGGGCAATTTGAGGAAGTCTGCTATTTTATTTGACGGAAGAAAAAAACATATGATTGGGAAAAAAAGCCTATGCCGGTTATTAAAAAGAATCAGTCAGTATTTTCGTTTTGTAATATAAATTAATTATTTAAGTGAAAATAATTTAGGGCAGTCCTATTTATTTTATTCATTTTATTTAGATTATTCTGCTCTTCTGTGCTAAACACTGCATGTGCGTGAAAATGCTCTGTTGTTCTGTTCTGTTATTAATATGCTAACATATAAAAATAAATCAGTATTTAAAATGCAATATTTAATGTGTCAGACACAAAATAGACACGTCAATTTGTTTAATATAAAATTAATAGTAATCTGACCAGATAACCGTTAATAACCGATTAATGAGCAGCATTTGTCGGTTAGCAAAATTAACGAAATGAGCATCCCTAGTAGCCATTTAATTTACTTTTTCTATGTAAGAGAACTTGATTGAAAAAGAATTTTCAACATGCTTGAACCATCTACACAATGGAGTTCTGTTCTGTTTGATTTTTTAACAGTATTTTGTTACAAAGAAAACAAAAGTGATATAGCTTTGACTATTTATTTATTTTATATATGGCTATTTATATTGTTAATAATTTGCATAGTTAATATTGTTCTTTGATGTTTAGTTTATGTTATTTAAACATAAACCAAATGTTATTTAATAAAAAAAAGTTTTAAAAATCTTTTTTTTCCCCACCCCACACGAAAAAAAAAAAAATTGTGATACGAACTGAATCGTGGGTCAAAAATTGTGATACGAACCGAATCGTGGGTTTGGTGTATCGTTACAGCCCTACTTTAAACCCATTAAAGAAGTTGACAAAAAAGGGGAATTGTGATCAACATGACGTATGGAAAGTACTAAGCCAACACTACCACTGTAATAGCAGATATCTTCTATGAGAATACTGTAGGTCAAATATATTCAGCTTGGTTAAACTTTTTTATTTATTGTTTTTATTTATATATCGCAAGTGCTCAAGGACGCTTTACAAACAGTAGGAGAACAAGAAGCGCAATAACCTTAAGAAGGTAGAGAAAATGGGAGACTAATAATACATAAAATGAATGACAAAAGACACGAGAACAAGTAACAAAAGAATCTTATTCCTGTCTTTCAATGAGTGCTTATGTGCATTTAGGAGAACTAGGCAGCACACTCAAGGCTTAATTTAGTATTCTTATTATAAAAAATATATCAGTATGAAAACCAACCTGTTTGTTCCTGCAGATCTTCCTGTTTGACTGTGAATGTTTCTTCAATCTTCACATCTTCACTCTCCTCTTTAATAAATGCCATCTTTATAACAGTGTGGAGATCAGTCGCTTCAGCAGGAGTTTTTCTCTGTGTTTGGACACTTTATTCTGTTTAAAATTAACAAAACAATAAAAATGTCCTGTTGAAAATGAATAAAACAATGAAGAGAAACAAAATAACTTCTCTTCAACATTTGTTTTCAACAGAAATCAGGTAAAAGAGTAAGTCCGAGCAAGATACAATAGCCACAAATTAGCTGAATAATACTATGTTACTCCATTTCTTATATAGTGATGTTTACTTAGAATGTAATGTCATTATGCTATTTATTAAATTAAACCTTCATTAAGACACTTATTACAAACTATCAAAGTACAACATTGTTCACAGTCAAATAAACAGTGTTAATGTTGTTTAGAAGTCATACTTGCATGCTAATTCCAATTGAATATTTAAAGTAACATGGTAAACAATACAGAGACTTCTAAATTAACGAATGTGGGAATATAAAACCAACTTTACCTCTATTGTATAAAGGTGTAAATAATATTGTCAACAACATAGAGGTAAAGTTGGATTTATATTCACACATTTGGACTTTCCCCGTAATAATAACTTCATGAAAGTATTATTTACAAACTCTAAATAGCGAAATCATATTAGCAGTCAATGACTATCAAAGTACAACATTGTTCACAGTCAAATAAACAGTGTTAATGTTGTTTAGAAGTCACACTTGCATGCTAATAGAGACTTCTAAATGAACGAATGTGCGAATATAAAACCTACTTTACCTCTATGTCAACAGCAGGTATATCATTTAGCATCTGGTGAAAATCTGAAACATTAATCAATCCGTTTATATCTGTGTAAAAGCTTTAAAACAAACCTTTCTCCAGTTGAATCACAGCGCAGTAGCGGCGCAGCCTCATGACGTCACACGACAGGCCATAATAAAAGTCTTCTTCTGAGGCCACCTACCGGATACAAGTGTGGAACGCAAAATGTAGAAAGAAGTATGAAAACAAACAAAAAATAAATAAATAAAATGATGTACGAATGGAGGGGATAAGATTACCAGAGGGAAGAGAGAACAGGGGGATATTCCATAAAACTAGCTTACAGAAAAAGCCAGGCTTATTTTGGTAAGTCAGGTTTATTAATGGCAGATTCTGTTTCAAAAATCAAATTTACAATAGTTCAAACTTAGTTACCCTGGCAGCTTATGTTGAAACTAACCTGGTCCAGGGCAGGCTAACGCTCAGGCTAAGTCTTAAGTTCAGGCTGCGCCGCTCCCGCACTGTTATTTGACTGGAGAAAGGTTTGTTTTAAAGCGTTTACACTTATATAAACAGATTGATTAAAGTTTCAGTTTTCATTCAGTGCTTAATTTTGTACCTGCTGTTGACAACATTATTTTAACCCTTTATACAACGTAATACTATTTTACTCACAGTAGTGAGGGCTATTGTTTGAACAACAGAAATTTGAGTAAAAAGTGTTTTAATGAAGGTTTGATTTATCAAATGGCATAATGTCATTCCAATCTAAGTATACATCACTATATATAAGAAAAGTAGTTACGTTACTAGTTTTAATCAGCTCATTCTTGGCTATTGTTTCTAGCTCAGACTTACTCTTTTGAAGCAAGTGTTGAGAAGTTATTTTGTTCATTGTTTTATTTATTTTAAACAGGACATTTTTATTGTTTTGTTAATTTTAAACAGGATAAAGTGTCTAAACACAGAGAAAAACTCCTGCTGAAGCGACTGATCTCCACACTGTTATAAAGATGGCGTTTATTAAAGAGGAGAGTGAAGATGTGAAGATTGAAGAAACATTCACAGTCAAACAGGAAGATCTGCAGGAACAAACAGGTTGATTTTCATTCTCAAAGACCAACTCAGGCATCTGATCCTCATTCAGATATAATTTAATAATAAGAATACTAAATTAAATCTTGCAGCCCTGAGTGTGCTGCCTAGTTCTCCTAAATGCACATAAGCACACATTGAAAGACAGAATGAGTTTCTTTACTGTTACTTGTTCTTGGCCTTTGTCATTATTTTATATATTATTAGTCTCCCATTTTCTCTTCTAAGGTTATAGCATTTCACGTTCTTCTACTGTTTGTAAATCGTTCTTGAGCAAAGGCGCTATATAAAAAAAAAGTTTAACCGAGCTGAAGATATTAGACCTACAGTATTCTCATAGAAGATATCTGCTATTACAGTGATAGTGTTGACTTAGTACTTTACATTTGCATATGTAACGTTGATCACAATTCCGACTTCTTTATGGCTTTAAACTTGATTCTAGTAGTTGTTACTAGTTCTCACAGACAGTATCTAGAATTACATCATTATTATAATAACTATTTACCAGGGCTATTGTGTTTAAACAGGGCTTCTGCGGAGTCTTAAAATGTCTTGAATTCCAAAATCCAAATTTTAGGCCTTAAAAAATCTTAAATTTACTGAAATATTTTGTTGTAGGTCTTAAATCTTTTACAAACAAGTCTTCATTTTCCTTTGTTCATGTTTTGTTACCCAATCTGGTCAAAACCCACACAATCACCAACAATCCATCTCAATAAAACTTTCAACTTTTTATTCAAAAAGGTCATTTTAACTCTATTTATTATAATGCTTTAATCATTTTCCTTACAATAACATTTAAACATGCTCCATGTATTCACTGCTGAGGACATCGACCTGGACAGATTGTTGTGCATAAATTTATTTTGTTATAGTTTTTAAAACTTTAAAAGCATTTGTTAATTGGTTTTTATTTTAAATAAAGTTTATGTTGGAAAAAAAAGTGTGTGGATACAAATAAAGCTTACTTATTTTTACACAATAATTAAGATCTTTTGCTAAGAAATATCTAAAATATTAAAATTTTCTATCTGGGCCATCATCGTGGATGCAGTTTGTTGTGGCGTTGTGCAGGGTCATTCACTAAAACCAAGTCACCCCTGTTATACGGAGTGTACTTCAAATGACGATCATAGTTCAGGCGTTGTTGTTCTTGAGCCTTATCTCGGAAAGCTATCGCAGAACGATAAGCACATGCTAGTCTTTTACGCACTTTGTTAGCATATGCTGCGGGTGTACCAGCTGTTGCTGAACAGGAAGCATTATTGTCCTGAAGTAGTGTGTCTATAGGAACACGGGCCTCTCTGCCATGGGCTAGAAAGAAAGGTGTTAGCCCAGTGCTAGTGTGCTTGGTGGTGTTGTAAGCCAACGCAACCTGTGGGAGATACTCATCCCACTCTGAACCCGAATCAAATAAACACTTAGAAAGTTCACCTTTTAACGTGCAATTAAAACGCTCTACAGCTCCATCACACTGCGCATGATAAGGGGATGTATGAAGCTTTTTGATTGACAGCAAGTTACAAAGGTGCTTTATTAGGTCTGATTCAAACTGCCTGCCCTGATCCGAGTGTAGGGCCTCAGGGACACCATGCTGTGGTATATAGTGGTCAAAAATGAAAACTGCCACTGAGTGAGCTGTCTGATCTTTTAGTGGGTAGAGATTGACAAACTTGGTAAATAGGTCCATCATTACTAGGGCATAACGATTACCCTTAGTGGAAACAGGCAACTCTGTTATGCCTGCCGCCACTATTTGGAATGGACGCTCAGGAGTAATAGGAATGAGTGGTGCCTGCAGCCTGGGCACAGGAGAACGCCGTGATTGGCAAGCCGTACATTGGGAGCAATGTTTGGCTATGTCTGAAGACATATAAGGCCAATAAAAGGACCGCATAGCTCTGTCCAATGATTGTACCACCTGAAAGGTATCATCTCTAAAAGAGTTACACAAGTGTCTGCATAACACACCATTGTGGATAATAAGTCGACTAAACTGTGTCCACAGTTTTCTGAGGTATGGGGAAGCCTCATGTAATCTCCACAAGGGTGGTCTATGCCCTTTTTCCATCCAAGTAAAAACAACAGCTAAATTTGGATCTAACTTTTGCTTTTCTATCACATTCCAATCACTCTGAATTAGAACGAGATTTGCTGTTGTGTTACCTGAAATGGTTGTCGGCAAAAGCACATCTTTATTCATCTGCAAAGTTTGGGTGTGAGCTGAAGCCGTCCTTGCTTGCAAGGGTGCTAATGTGGTCTGAGTTGCTACCGAAAAGGTGGACATGTTGCCCTGAATGTAACTGTCAGAGTCTACAGGATTATTATCTGGCCGCCTGGACATAGCATCTGCATTAAAGTGTTTAGCTCCCTCTCGATGAATGACATGCCAATCATATAAGTCTAATTCTAAGGCCCAATGAGCTCGCCTACCCGTAGGATCATGATCAAGAGGAAGTTTCTTAAGACCGACCAGCGGCTTGTGATCCGTTATGATAGTGAATGGGTGACAAGCAAGATAGTGCCTGAAGTGGCGAACTGACCAAACATTGGCATACAATTCTCTGTCAAATGTTGACCATTTTCTTTCCGCAGCAGACAAGACATGACTGGCGTATGCAATTACATGCTCTTTTCCTTCTTTCTTTTGGGAAAGGACAGAGCCCACAAAATGAAGAGAAGCATCTGTGTAAAGAAGGAAAGGAGCCGAAAAATTTGAAAAGGCTATAATAGGTGATGAAGTCAGCGCCTGTTTTAGTACAAGAAAAGCTTCATTTGCTTCCACTGACCAAGTGAATGGTACTCCCTTGTGTGTGAGATGGTACAAGGGTTCAGCCGTCTTAGCGAATTGACTAATGAATCGACGATAATAGGAACACAGACCAAGAAAAGCTCTGACCTGTGTGGCTGATATTGGAATTGGCCATGTCCCCACTTTATCTATGTTTGATGGGTCTGGCTCAATCCCGGCACTGGAAACACGGTGGCCAAGAAAAGTAACAGAGGAGCGTGCAAACTTTCACTTGGATGGCTTAAGTTTTAGACCAGCTGTACGAAATCTCTGGAAAACTTCACGCAAGTGCTGTAGGTGTTGTGAAAAATCAGCACTGTAGATGATAATATCATCTAAGTAGATCAAACAAAT